AAGATGGTGAGAGAATAGTGATTGCAGGGGATCTGAACGGACACGTAGGCTGGAGTGGTGTCGGGTATGAAGGTGTACATGTTAACCAAGAAGGTATTGCAATATTGGATTTTGCAACCACATACGAAATGAAGTTGTTAAATACCATGTTCACTAAGATTCCAAACCACCTGGTGACTTACAATAGTGGATGCCACCAAAGTCAAATAGACTACATAATGGTCCAAAAGAAGTTTGTTAAGGAAGTAAAACGCTGCCATTGGAGCAAGTCACAGCGCAGTACAGAACATTGGTGATGAAGATGAAGATCAGAAAGATGAGGAAAAGAAGGGAAAAGCCGAAATGCATAGAGTTCTTGATGGGGTGGAGTTTGATGATGAAGGTTATTTAGACGAGGAAAAGGATGAGCATGAAAAGAAAAATGCACTAAAAAGGTGGAAAACATCGGGAAGAAATGAGGACAAGGAAGAATATAAAAGAGTGAACAGAATTACAAAGAAGATTGTAGCAAGAGAACAAAGAAAAGCAATGGATTTATATGAGAAGGACAAAAAGACATCTTTAGAATTGCTGCAGAAAGGAACAAGAAGACGAAAGATATTGGACAAGTAGAGACAGTTAAGAGCGAAGATGGAAGGATGCTAAAGCATGAGGAGGATATCAAGTCATATTTCGAAGAGCTATACAATGAGGAAAATGAGAAGGTACATACAGAAAACACGGCACCAGTGCAAGGCCCCTTTAAAGAGATAACATCAGAGGAAGTGAAAGGTGTATTGAAGAGAATGAAGAACAACAAAGCTTGTGGCCCAGATGGATTTTCAATGGAGTTTTGGAAGGTGCTGGGAGATGTGAATGTGAGGTTGCTCCAGAACTTGTTTAATAAGATTATGACACATGGGAAGATGCCTGATGTCTGGAGGAGAAGCTCTATAACATCTTTAAAAATAAAGCTGAAGTGATGGACTGCAAAAATTACAGGGGAAGAAATCTACTGTCGCATACTTTCATAGTATGGGAAAGAATAATAGATAGTAGGTTAAGAGACCTGATTACACCAAGAGAGTCACACCTTGGATTCCTACCAGGAAAAGGAACAACAGATGCCATATTCATGCTGAAACAAGTGATGGAGAAGTACAGAGAAGGCAGGAAAAATCTCCACCTATTCTTCATAGACTTAGAAAAAGCTTACAACAGAATTCCACGTGATGAAATTTGAAGGAGCCTCAGACTGAAAGGAATGCCAGAGTATATTGTTAAGAGCATCAAGGACATGTACCAAAATTCCACCACAACGGTAAGGTCTGCAGCTGGAGAAACAGGTCCCTTCGAAGTCAGAGTTGGCCTCTACCAGGGAAGTGCTTTGAGTCCATTCCTTTTTGTCAACCTCCTGGACGTCCTGGCCAATGAACTTCACCTGGAGCTACCCTGTGACATTGTATATGCCGACGATGTCATGATTTGCATGGCCGACACAGAGTAACTGAACCAGAAGTTAGAGGGTTGAAGAGAGATAGAAGACAGAGGACTCAGGATGAGCAGACTGAACACGGAATGCATGAAATGCCACTTCGGAGAGGAGGATGAGCAGTAGGTGGATTTGGAAATAGACCTAGAGGTACTCAGAGAGACTGATATCTTCAAGTACCTAGGGTCTATGGTGCAGCATGATGGAAGGATGGAAGCAGAGATTACAAATAGAATACAAAGTGGAAGGAGGAATTGGAGGAAGTGTGCTGGAGTAATGATGGATAAGAGAATGAGCACGAGGCTAAAGAGAAGGATCTACACTAGACCCGCACTCACCTACGGAGCAGAGACCTGGGCAACCACCAAGTGGAGCGCCTGAATGTGAACGTAATGAGAATGCTGCGATGGACTTGCGGGGTGACAAGAAGGGACAGAGTGTCTAACCGTCACATCAGAGGATCTCTAAACATTAATGAGGTGGCCAAGAAAGTGAAAGAGGAGATTAGTTTGGTTTGGACATGTCGAGCGAAGATAAGAGGAGCACTACCTGAAGCGTGTGTCAGCAATGCAAGCCCCCAGAAGAAAAAGGGTGGGAAGACCAAGGATGAGATGGAAGGATTGTGTGAGCCGGGATATGAGGGAAGCAGGATTGAACAGAGAGATGGCCCAGGATAGAAACAACTGGAGGCGTCAATTGAGGGACCATTTCAGCGACCTCATATAGTCGGGAAAAGCTTGTAAAAGAAGAAATAGACTGTATTGCAGATTGGTTTGTAGGTAATGTTGTGCGAATGGAAGGCTTGGTTCCTCTGCTGAATGAGACGTTTGATGCGGCCCGTGATCCAAGGCAGGTCCAATGGGTGGGTGCTGAGTGTCTTTTCTTGATAGAACTGGTGGAAAGCCGTAGTGACGGTCGAGAGGTAGTAGTGTCCCTTGTCCTCCATATCAACAGTGTTAAGAACGTCTGTCCACGGGTCTTGGGTAATCCACTGCTCGAACTCTATGACAGAGGACTATGTGTGTGCCC